ACTTTCAAAGAATATATATTTATGATTATTTAATACTTATTTATAAGTATTATATAAATTTATGTTAATTTTTATTAACAAGAAAAAACAAAAATTGGAAGCTAAATGTTAAGTTATATATGCACCAAATGTTTGTATGCACTATTCCATTATTACAACTCTTTGATTCACATCAAGCATAGCCACTCCATTTTTCTTATTTAACTTTCGATTACAATAGTAAAGATTGTACCATTAATACGCTACAAGTTTTTATCTTATCTCAAAGAAGTAATTCATATACAATAGTAATATATTGTACATTAGTATAATTTATGTTAATAGTTCTACATCTGCGTCCAATTGTAATTATAACAAATAAGAAAGTTATGAAATAAAGTTATCTGAAAGAATGAGAACAATAAAACAATAAAATTTTCAAATCGGTCTACATATCTGATAGAAATAAAATACACAAGATAAAAAAACCAATATAAAAAATTTTATTCATTTATTGTTTGCTCAGCTACAAAGAAAACTTTAAACTTTACAGAATTTATTTCATTTGAAATCAATGGTTTAATTCAAATGGACTATTTCATAACGATTGTTAATATTGTTTTTATAATTACACACAGATTATAATACATTAACATTTTTCAAAATCTATCATTTCCATTTCTGCGAAGAATACTTGATTGAAAAAATTGCTAAAAAATAATATTCAAATATTTATTATACAATTTAAAAGAGTATATTGTTAATAGTTTTGTTATGATTAACTGCAAACTGAGAAAATTTTTCTCCTTGGAAAAAATTTAATATAATTATTATTCCATTTATCAAGTGCAATACGTTTCGCCGATAATAGTAAATTTTCTAATGTAGAGTATTAGCTGAGAAATATTGTAATTGGATTCGTCAAAAAAGTAATGATTGTTTCTACAGAAAACAACAGTCATTTCCTTTATTGCATTAATGTTTAGTCTTAGTGTTAATACATAATATTCGTAAGTTGTAATTTTTATGTACACTACTTTAAGCTACTTTGCATATAATGCTCGAGGGAAATCATGAATGGGGAATATTACGCTAAAAACATGTTATTTACGTTTATTTAAAGATTTAACGATGTACAATATACTGTGATGTAATTATGTGAATTTACCTTATTAACCAATGGATTAAGATGTAAGGCACACAATTTTTGTCAATTTCTCGGATAATTAATTTCATAGATCAATAAATTTTTAGGAGGTATTATACAATAATAAATACATCTATAAAATAATACAATAATTTCTTTCTGATTCATGAAGCACACATTGGATGCTTGCATCTTGATCTTTTAACACTTTTACGAAACCAAATTAACGTGTAAATAAACACTTACATAGACTTTTATAAGGACAATTGTATACTTATAGTTAGTAAATCTGAAACTAATATTACACTGTAACATAGTAGTCTTATATACCGCACGTTTTTTTTCAAATAATTTTAGTAAAAGCTATATTTTGTCAAATAGATTTTTTAAATTAATATAATTGAAATTTATTACATGGTAATACGTCGTATTATCTGGAAGTTGAAGAAAATTGGTGGAAAGAATGAGTGTAATTTATTTGCAGCAATCTGCACTTTGTTTGACCCTAATAAATTGTAAATCGAATAATGCGACAATCTTCAAGTACGAAGATGTTAGTAAGTTATGTATACAGGTTTCGGTGGTGATTTATACAGATGATGATTCTATGAGTAAAAATAAATTGATGCGATAAAATAAAATTTTGTCATAATAAACTTAGCTTTCGAAGAATTTAATTTAACCCATAATGGCAATCATCGGTGAAATTTCATTATTATTGCTATAACGGTAATTTAACTAAAAAGTAGTGATGACATTATCATAAGACAGTAATTAGTACGTGCATTCGACAATTTATTAGATTTTATGTTTGTCTTAATAAGCTTTTATTTTCAATTTCATAAGTAAGTATTATATGTGCATATATAAGTACGTTTATTAACAACAACATTAATTTTCATTTATATTATCAAATTGTTAAAAGTGAAATTGTTGTTCATCATATGAATCGAACAGTCTAACGTGACTAATATCATGATATTCCGACATTTTAACTGCAGAAAATGTATATTATTCTCTCTGTAAACAATTATTATCGTGCATATACTAGCAAACACGTTACAAAATGCGAATATCGTCTTTACATATTTTGTATTTAGAATATTGTTATGAATATTATACGGATTTCATTTTAATGAGATTGAAATTAAAATTAAAGTTGAAATTAAAATTAAAATTGAAATTAAAATTGAAATTAAAATTGAAATTGAAATTAAAATTAAAATTAAAATTAAAATTAAAATTAAAATTAAAATTGAAATTGAAATTGAAATTGAAATTGAAATTGAAATTGAAATTGAAATTGAAATTGAAATTGAAATTGAAATTGAAATTGAAATTGAAATTGAAATTGAAATTGAAATTGAAATTAAAATTAAAATTAAAATTAAAATTAAAATTAATATTACAATTAAAATTAAAATTAAAATTAAAATTAAAATAATAATATGCGAATTAAATGAAACAATATATAGTCAACGAATTGTGAATTCTAATTATCTCAAAAATTAGTTTACTGTAGAAAAGAACGTATTATACGCGACCGGTTTATTTTTACTTTCAGAGCCACCCTCTGTTCGGTTCTACCGCACCCTCCCCACAGCCTGTATATATAATAAAATGGGACATGGAAATAGAAGCACTTTAATATCTCCGTTATTTATAGTCGCATAGAAAAGCCATTTTTAATGAAATTTCAATGTCGACGTTGCTTTTTTTTAATAGTATCGTGTATATTTTTAATAGATTGATCTATATTGTCGTTGTCTATAAAAGAGAACGAAATTCAATGATATTTTAATTACAGTATTCAGCAAATCTCTGCATTCATATTAAAGAATGTGAATTATACCTTAATGTGAATAGTGGGAAGTAATATTAGTTGTACAACGATTACGTTTTTAATCTTAATACTTCAAAACTAGAAGTCCTAAGAAGACACTTAACAGAAGGACCGAACTTTTATTCGAACACAATTTCTATAAATCAATGTGTAAATATTTGTATTTACTTATAAATCTACAGTTTATTTACTTACTAAAACTAAAGGGTCTCTTATATGGAGTAAATTTAATCGCTAATTACTTGGAAGTGAACTGAACATCAACAACTGAACTTGTCGATAGACGTCGATTACGCAAAGATAGTAAACACACTTAATCGCTGGCTACGTTTTTGTTCAGTTTTGTATATCTTCTATAATCAACACATAATTGATTTTAAGGTGGCCTAAAATATTATATTAGTAATTTAAATATTGGAGGTATAACGTGCATTTCAACTCATAAGCTTACTATCTAATTCTATTACATTTAATACGTTTGACACAAGTAAAATACAATTAAGAGAGAAACTATTTCAAATACTAAATAGATATTACTAGGTATAAAATAAGTATAAAATGATATCTTAAATATGAACCAAAATTATAACAATTAAAATACTTTCTTATTTTATTATTATTATTATTTATTATTAGTAGTTATACCGTAACAATATGCTTAGAACATATTTTAGAAGCTGTGTATATTTAATATTTGACAAAGTAAATTTTAACAGAATTTGCAATATTTCCCAAACAGAATACTATTTTTAAATGGTACTTGAACAATTTATTACAACATATAAGATATTTCATTTTGAAAATGTATGTACGATAGTCTTATGTATGAATTTAAGTCAAATATATTATTTACCATAAATTAGTACCAAGCAATCTACTGCAATTATAGTTTGTCTAAATCTTCAGGCTATCAATGTTACTTTGTTTAAGTCAAATACTGAAATGTTTAACTGTAGAAATACAGCTTATACCAACACGTATTTGATGACAAATA